CCTACAGTTTATTCGTCCTTATCCGAGAAGACTAGAATATCTATCTATTTCTTGATAACATAGAAAGGTAGCAAATTCTCCTCAGTTCTTTTAAGATCATGAGTACTGGTCCGGCCAGGGCTCGAACCCTCGACCTCCCTCACAACACAATCAGGCACTCTAACAAATTTAGCTAACTGGGGGGGCGGTTAGAAAACGTTTCAAGAAGTCCTACGGAGCAAAAACTGGTGAAATTAAACAGCAGGCCTCAGTTGCTGCAAGGTTGGATGATGCTGTCCAGTGGATAGCCCTGCACATTTTGCTATTTATCTGCTGGATAGTAATTTATCAGTTGAATACAACTGAGCCTATGGTTATAAAAAATACACCCATGTGAAAAAAAAAAAGTTTCTTGTGCATCAAAAAAGGGGACGGTTTTGTTGGAAAATTGCATATTGTCAAGAGTGTGACCTCTAATTTTTGTTTTACACGAAACCTTTCCATTATAGAAATAAATACATTTCCTCACCTTTGACAAAAATATACTTGGAGATAGGGAGAAGCTTGCTTGTATCTTTATAGTACCTTGTTTCGACCCTGACTGTCACCCACACATGATATTCAATCTCAGCCCGATATGTGTGAAATATTAGACAGCTATTTCTCTCTGTCACTAAAGAACCGTCACCAAAATCCCAGTCTGTGGATACATTTGTGACTGCTTTGAATGGATCCTTGAATTTCACCTCAAACCTAGCAGGAACATTTATTGCAACTTTCTCCTGGTCTGATGGCAACTTTGGACCAGGCAAACCAACAATCACCAGGTGCGCTGGTTACACCATGTCAAAATAATCATGAATAACATTACAAAAATATAGTGTATATTCAGGACCCTCACAGCATAGCAGGACTGTTGAAGATACTTTGTTAAATAAAAAGAGCTTTAGTCATAATCCTTCAATTATCTTAAAAAAATGTTCAGCTTGCACCCCCTGACAAACTCATTGTTACTAAAAAGTGAAGCACAAACTGCATTTAATTATACTAACATTGAATGTGGGCAATACAAATTATCATAAATGAATTGCAAAAGCTTTAATAGCCACAATCTACCTTTGAAAAGTAAATCTTTTTTAGCAACTCCGCTGCAGTATTCTCCATTGTGAAATCCATGGATAACAACTTTCAATGTACAGGCTTCCACAGTTGTAAAATTGTGACTCACTTCACTTAGACGTGAATTTAGCAGTTTAGTTCTATCCCCAAATCACCAGTTATATGACAAATTATGAAATCTCCCAGGACTATGGACCCTGACTGCAAGGTTAACAGTTCCTGCAGTGAAAGGATTTTTGTTTTAGGAGGAATTCTGATGAGCCTCTAAAGATGCAGAAATCTTCTCTGCAAAAAGATATAGCAGTAACAGAAATTAATCTATAAAGCACACATTTATTAATTATTAATATTCATGTTTGCATCCAAGCCNGAATTCCTTCTTTGCCACATCCGCGACATTGAATGGGATACTTTTTGCAATCCTGTATTTGATGAGTCTAAATAAATTATGAATAGATATAAAACATAAGTAAATTACAAACACGAACGAGAGTTGGAACCATTTATGAAGTTTTTGATGAGAATTCATTTACTTTGAGGATGATTCAATAAAGGAAGGTTGAATGCAAGGGTGCGCGGAAAACCGAAAAGAAAGGAAAGAGGTTCCCTTAACCTGTTCACAGATGTAGGCCATAAGTGCCACTTCTTACGAATGGCAAAAACATTATGATATTGCCTTTGAAACAAATCAAAATATACTGGCGGTATGATTTAAAAAACGCCCGAGAGAAAAGTGTTATTGTGGTACTAGTAGCTTTTGAGGGTGATCAAACTGACCTTAAGAACAGCAGCAGTCATAAGATCATCGCACAAGGGGCACCGCTGGGTGCGATAGAGACACTCGTGTTCCTGGTGCCGCTGAAGATCGGATCTTTTCACACCTTCATCACAGTTATGGTTAGAGCATCTCTCTTTTTCCTCAGGGCAGGTAGACCGGTGTTTCTACACAAGAAGGAAAAGAAGATTATAGTACCCCTATCAAGCGCCGTTCTTTGTGTACTGTTCGACAGATTTCCTACGTGTTTTGCATTAGTACTAAGAATATAGTTTATACAATCTTAAGGCAGTTCATTAATTGTATTCTCTTTGCGTATCGGCGCGCGTGATTGAGAAAAGACAAAGAGATTTTCTCGCAGAACGCATCGAAAAATCAGTAGACTGGGAATGAAATCAAGAGGAGATTAGCAAAGGATATAATGTATTTACGTTTTACAGGTTAAATAGATAGCAATTTCGATCGACATTGTCACTATTCTTAAAAAGATTAGGGTAATTTTTCCGACCGGTCAACGTCAGTGTACTTCGTTGCAGGGGTTTCCCACCGTTCAGTGGTTCGTCTTGTGTTTTCTCTCTCTTTTTTTTTTTGTTTTTTTTAAGAATTGGTCCTCCTTCTCAACCAATTAAATTGAAACTTTATCCTTACTTTACTAGATGATGCACCGTACTTGCGATTTGTTTTGTGATTGGTTGTTTGGCTTTAATGACTTTGGCTTACCTCAATATATCTTACTTCCCCTTTCCACTTACAGCCATCCAGTGAATTAGGGCATGCGACTACTAGGGAAAGAACTTCGCGTTTCATAAAGTTGTCGGGGAATATCTGCAATGTACATGCGAAGAAACATTTTCCGTTAAAAGGTATTGTCGCGTTCCCGAACCAAGTCCTTGCGGGAAGTATTGATCCGGAGTTCGCCGAGTTCAACCACACACTACAGGCCTGATTTTAAACCGATTTATTCCTTGGTTACCACTGAAACATGCGGTGAAAACTACAACATTAAAAAATTTACGCGTTACGCAACGGAATAGCTGCGAATAGTGAGAACTCTCCGTCAACGAACGAAATAAGTGGCAGAGGATAAACTAAAATTAGGCTTACGTTATAATTTCTGCTGGCTGTGTGAAGGCAAAAAGATTTCTCCAACTCCCAAATTTCTCCGTAGAAGCGACGAACGCGTGTATCTTAAAGCTTACTAAGGTCATTCCCGTTACAAAGGTCGTGAAAAGATCGGGTTACGGGGTTGCGAAAGATGGCGATGATTAACTAAATTACACAATAAAATCACATGCGTAACGCAAGTGTGTTGCGTTGTTCGTGACAGGTATTATCGGACAGGTCTTCGGCTAGATACTTGTGATATCCTTTAGCTCCAATAGTGCTTACTCATGTTTAGAATGCGTCCTTACATATTTACCTGGTCTGCTGCAAAGGGTGTCTTATCAACAAGACAGGTGTAGGTTCCATCATCCCTGTTTATTGAAAAATTATTCTCAGTGTTAAAAGTTGAATGCACTATTGATGATGCTGATGTAGGCAATTCTATAGCTTTTTTACGCGAGTAAAGTATCTTACAGTTTTCTTCACAGTGCACTCAACCCCCCCTAACTCGAACCAAACCCTTCATACAATTACCGAACACCTCTGCAAAAGCTGCATGAGCCTTTAAGATTCTTTTTCTGCAGTGTGGTGCTCTGAATAGGCTTGTATTTCGAAATGAATTAAAATAATGAACGGTGACACTAGCTTACCTCTTGAGGTCTGAGATGCAAGAGATGCAGTATACATGGCCACAACCGGTCTGGACAGGATCTTTGAGGATGTTTTGGCACAGCAAACACAAATAACGTGAATCAACTGTGCCGTTCTTAGACAACGTATAACCCGGCATTCAGGGGATATCAGTGATGTATCCTAGGTTGGTATAGATGGCTCCCTTAAAAGAAATGGATAAGAGAATTTGAAATCAGCGAACAAGTAGCATGTTTGAAAGGTAGAAGGAATTCAGGTATTATGTGGCGTTATAATTGTGTCGCTGCACTCCTGAATGAAGATATTCCACCTTCAGGAGTAACGTACTTAGGATTGCAGTGTCAGTGGTTTAAAGATTTTTCTTCTGTATGCACAGTGAGGGAGCTGATAGTAATTGAAATTTAGAATGGGACCAATTCTGAAGTTAGTGATCGAGCAAAAGAGTGAGTTTTGTGGTCACAGCCAGGAAACTAAAGATCTGCGCTGTTAAGCGTAAACAGAGGCCTTTCATAATAAAGAACGAACATTTCCTTTACAGTTCAAAACGGCAAATTGCACTCCCCGCCAAATGAAAGTTTTGAACTCAGTGGTGTAAGGTTGAGAAAAGGGGAGTGAAAGTATGCCTGTAGTTATATGACCAGCCTTTGCTAGTAAGCAACGCGACTCAAGCTTCAGCTGAACAATGGGAGGGTCAGTAACTAGGGCAGCTATCCTTCCCACATACTCAGTGTGTATGACAGGATCTTAGTGTTTTAATTGGTCAATCCTCATTTCGCCAGGGTTCATTATGTCTGGAACACAAGTTCAAAGGTTTCGTTGAGACTCGATATCTTAGCTAACGGACCCCGATATTTGTTGATTACTTGAAGCACCACGGAGGGGACAGATAGATCCGGCAAAGTAGTTAGGCTGCGGTGTCATAACTGATCATTCACTATTTAGCTAGAGTACTTTCTGACTGGAACTAAACTTGGAGGCGTCATTGAAACTCGATAGGTTGGTGAGCTGACCCCGATATTTGAGATGATGAACTCGATAAGAGAGCAACGTAGTATGTTATTCATAACAACAGAACATGATGTGATCTTCTGGTCACAGTAGAGTGGTAACTTAGTTTACGCGCAGTTGAGCGTAAACACTTGCATTTTCTAGATCTAATACTCCTAAAAGTCGGAAGGGCCCTTAAGTTACCTGACTAAACATCATTCACTCTGAACAAACTTCACAGGCCGGAAAACTTTTATGCAAATTTTAAATGTGACTTGCTCTGACATGGAAACTAGATAAAAGAGAATCACCTGGTACTCATGCTACATAAAGTGCATCAATATTTAACTTCGATATTCATATAAAAGACTATGTTTTTATGAAAACATTAGTTGGTTACAGAGGTAACGTTATTTATACAAACGACAATGAAAGTTGAAGCGCATCATCAAGTTCGAGTTTGCAAAAAAACTTCAACAGTTTGTTTGGCTTTTTAGGCGTCATTCTTAATGATGAAGTAGGAGCCATAAGATTTTTTTTACACGTCGATAGTTTTCTCGTCTTTCGTTCAGTAACTGAAGCAAGTTTTTAGTACGAGCGTTTGAAATCAATACTTAAGCCTTGCTACTTCTGCATGAATAACTAGTGGCAGAGCAGCAGCTTACGAGGAAACAATCCAATTTTAAAGCATAGAAATTGTTGTTTACCATTAAAGCGCAGTCAGTTAGGGAGGTGCCGTGTGTGAATAATGGCTAGAAGAAGAAACTATAATAACTAAACCAACTGAAATTCCAATGAGTCGGGGCACAACCCTATTTCCGAGAAATATCGATGAAGCAGACGGCAACAACTAGTAATCTACTTTAGTTGTTCCCCCGATCGTTATTAACGTTAAAGATGTTCCCGGAATATAACTATGCGATATTTAATCGAACGAAGTGACTCGAGGTAGGAAAGACTGACTGTGATCTAGTTTATGATCTCCAAAACAGATTCAGTGTGTAAGTAGGCTACGTGTTCTTTAAATCTGGGATTTACGCTAGTATAGTTGACATACTTAATTACCAAATGTAAGGTTTTTTTCTTGTATTCTCTCCTTCTGATAATACATGCATAAAATGACTTCCCTTACCTATAGAACGCGCTGGAGTATCAGAGAATTCCTTTTCTGAATAATGAAGAGGGCGACACAACACATAAAATTGAAATGTTTTGCATTAAATATTCTTGACTTGTTTGTCTCAGTTCAGATCGTATTGTGTGATTAGTCTGTCTGCAGTCAATATTAAGGGGAATCCCCGAATGTCTATTATGGGAAGGTCATACAAGGGATCGAAAGCGCCGAAACTGTGACTGATGTGCTTATTTCTTTCCGTTCTTTTACACTATTTACCGTAGTTGGCTGTATTTGAACTTGAGGCAAACATTTGACTTGAACAAAGTACAGACGGAAAGAGTACCGCAACTTTTTAGACCTGCGAAGACGGAAACGCGCCAAAGCAAGATATTTTCGCAGACTCGGAATGGCAATATCATAGATTTCGCTTCATTTACAGGGCCAAAAATATTTTGGACGGTTGCGGCCGGAATAATGCATATCCAGTTTTAAACAAGACTGACGTGTATTTGGAAGCTTTAGCTTTAACTACTTATGAGACACGTTCTACCTCTTGTACATATGGTTTTGACAAGAAACTGAATGTGCGTTGCCATCACTATCTCTATTGATGATAAAACTTAATTGCTCTAAACTCCGACTTCTGTGCTAGTATAGCAAAAGTATCGAAAGCCAAATGTGAGATCGTAGGATTTTAGAGATGTAATCCTGTTCAGTCAAGTTCCCAAAAATGAAATATCCAAATAGTATTTCGTTTTTTATTGCGACCCTCTGACTACCAGATTAACTACTATGACATCATTGTTGCAATTTATGCCAGCCCGGCTTGCTTTGACTAAAGAATTGGCTAATGAACACAAAGAACAGAAAAGATTTGCATATAAATTTGCCTTTAACCAAAAGCTGAAAAAAGCAGACAAACAAACCAAGTGATCGAGGCGTGTAAAAAGATAAAAATCACAGGCTCCTTTGGCTTAATGAGGTCATATGCATGAACGATTGTCAAGTACTTGAATGTACGATTATCGATTATACGTATATATGACTATGATTGCTTGAGTTTATAAACAGTTTGATTTAAAGTCAACTAGGTATTCATTCAAATTGCTCCATGATTGAATTTTTCACAATTTACAACACCAAACATTATAATCTGATCCTAGTCCGTGTTCATATCTTCTTTCTTTAAATCGTGAGAACGTTATCAGCCACATCCTCCGTGCTCTGAATTGGGTTTGTGTCTAACAAAAAAAAAAAAAAAAAAAAAAAAAAAAAAAAAGCTCATATATGAAGTGTATATAGCTTTATTTGAAAATGTTGAACAAATTTATCTGGTAACTTGTTTGAGAATAAGGAATTACTGATGCAAAAAGTTGCACATAGTAGTTAAGTGAGAAAGAAAGTGAACAGATAAAAGATTTATCTTTGGGTATCTTGAATCAATAACTTGAAGAAATAACCTCTCCCTCAGATCAAAACGATTCGTTATGTACCAAACTGACGTGCTCCTACCTTCAGGCCAATGATGTTCAACAGGATCTGGTTTGTTCTGATCATTCGGCACGAGGATATACTGGTATAACAAAAAAATGAATGAGACGCACAACTCTACGATTGCCAAGGAGCATCGAGATATCCTTCTGAAAACGTGACGATTGAGCATTATTCTCTTCTGACGTAAGTGCCGAGGAAAGTTTCTGTCTTTCTTCTGTTGCAGTTCAGCTGGTCCTCTCTTGTTCAGGAACTGTGGTCAGTTACCCCAAAAAAACAGAGGGTCGTTTTGTGATTGGTCGCTTGTTGCATTAAATATTCCTGACTGGTTTGTCTCAGTTCAGATCGTATTGTGTGATTAGTCTGTCTGCAGTCAATACAAGAGGGCGACACAACACATAAAATTGAAATGTTTTGCATTAAATATTCTTGACTGGTTTGTCTCAGTTTAGATCGTATTGTGTGATTAGTCTGTCTGCAGTCAATATAAAAGGGGAATCCCCGAATGTCTATTATGGGAAGGTCATACAAGGGATCGAAAGCGCTGAAACTGTGACTGATGTGCTTATTTCTCTCCGTTATTTTACACTATTTACCGTTTTCTGATTAGCATTGCATGAGTGTAACGCAATAAAACAGAAGGTCGTTCTGTGATTGGTCGCTTGTTTCTGATTAGCATTGCTTGAGTGTAACACAAAAAACAGTGTTACACTCATGCAATGCTAATCAGAAAACGGTAAATAGTGTAAAATAACGGAGAGAAATAAGCACATCAGTCACAGTTTCGGCGCTATCGATCCCTTGTATGACCTTCCCATTATAGACATTCGGAGATTCCCCTTTTTGAATGCAGACATACGATTTGAACTGAGACAAACCAGTCAGGACAAACCAGTCAGGACAAACCAGTCAGGACAAACTAGTCGGTCGTTCTGTGAGTGGTCGCTTGTTTCTAACTAGCGTTGTTTGAGTATTCGTGACTTTTATCTTTCCGCGTGCGTAATTTGCTCCCTAGGTTCTGGGTCTGATATTCCTGTTCTAAGAATTATTGTCTCTGATCTTCCCGCGTAAGTAATTTGCTTCCCCGGTTGTTCAGTGTTCCGATATCCCTATTTCTTAGACTTTCATGTTGGATTTGTCATGATCAAAAGACGAACGGAGAAAAATCCTCGCGATTCGCAGGAAGCAGTTTCTAAGATGTCATATTGAATCGGTTGAATTGGTAGATTGAAGCTTTTTATTCGTCGAAACGTAGTCACGGATGAATGAGTGAACAGAACCAATTATTCACCTTAATGGGTTCTGACACTAAAGAAACGCGCTCTCAAAAGATGGTTTGAGAGTACAAAAATGTCTCTCTTCTATAATAGCGTCTCCGAGGAATGGGATGATGGCTTTTTCGGCTAACGGTTACAATTTTGGCAGTTTTACGGCTTTCGGTCAACCCCTAACCCTAAGCCTCAGAGACCTGGAATTGCGAGTGAATTTGTTTCTGAAATAAGAGATACTGGAGGTGAAACCTAGGCTCTATTTACAACGATAAT